TCCCTTAGCCTCAAATCTTCCCTTATGTTCTAGAGAACGGTTTCCTAGGAAGTCACAAGAAGCAACTCTTGAGTAAAAATACTTTTTTTTTAAATTTTCAGGCTTATTTCCCTGGAAAATCAGAGGGTACATTCTTAGCTTTATCTCCGTGGGATAGGTGTGTGAGTAGGGTAGCACCTGTACGCAACGCTAGAATACCATTCCCCAGCCCTTAAGGACATACCTGTGTGATGGGCATCACTGCCTGCGGTCCTCCCAGTGATGAATGAAGTGCTCAGGGCATGGTGCCACAACCTGCTTGCTCCTGATGCTCTGATCCGTATGCCTGACCAGGTGAAGCCACCTGTGACAAGGGGAGCTTGTGGTCAGCCTTAGAATGAAAGAAGTCCTCTGGGAGCAGGGACCTAGGGATCTCACTTTCCCCTCCTCTGCTACCTCAGCCACACCTCACACATTCTTTCCCTGAGTCATTCACAGTAAAACCCTTCAAAGAAAGAAAATAAATTTTTAAAAGAAATTATTAAATATATTACCTTTCCCTAGAAGTATTTTATGTCAAAAATGTAAGTTCTTAACTCTTTTTATTCATTTTCAGCCTGAAAATAAGCATTTGGTTTCTAAAGGAGAAGCAAGTTATTATGCATAGACCAAGAAACAGCATTTTCCCCACTGGTATTGTATGAGAGCCAGTGTAGGTTAGGCCTGCACAAAAACAGGCTTAATGGGAAAGGTTCCCCAGATTACTACTCTAGGAGTTTGTATGTCAGCTGCCAAGTTGACACCTTTCCCGAGAAAGGAAGGCAAAGGGAGGTAAGCACGTTTTCCTTTAAGAAAGGGAAAGATACCTGGATTCTTATGCTTTGGAATGTAATTTCTCCTGGGGAAAGATAATAGTTAAGCAATCTCAACCTTGAGAATGTCTCTGAGTTTGAGATCTCTGTGAAACATAATCTCCTGGAGTCCTCTGGGTATCCTGTCATCTTTTAACTCCCAAAGATTACCCTTTACCCCAGGTCCTTGTTTTCTTGGCTTAGAAAATACTGATCATGCAAAAAAATAAATAAATAAATAACTCTTCTCTATAATCAGTAGCAGGACTAAACTAACTTTATATCTGCACCACTCATTAATACCTGACACCACCTAAAATACTGGCTTTCCTTTCAGAAAGTGCTGAAAATCCCTGAGGTGCCCCAGAACCTTGGAGGGGAGGGGAGGAACCATGAGCTAAGATCGGAGATTCCAATTATTTCTTCAAACACAGTCCAACTGCTCTCATTTTTTGGTGGGGCCTTGGACTACCACCCAAGCAGTTCTCAGAAGGTCTAGGAATGATTCTCTCCTATGATTCTTGGACAACTGGGCCAGAGGTTCAATTTGAAGGCCTGAGGACTTGGCACTATTCTGGTCCCAAAGGGTTGGAGACTTCCCAGGGCCAGCACAGAGGTGCTGGGGCAGCAGGACGACACCCAGGAAAGCTCAGAAAACCATGCAGTGCCAGGATCAAGTCTGGATCTGGTACACATATGACCGAACCCCTGTTGATTACCAAATATTATTTATTGGTATTTTCCTCCCAGCATATTAGTAGAGTTTGGTTATGTGGGGATGAGGAGAAGCAGAATCTTCAGAAGATATCCCCTTCAAACCATACTTGAAATATGGTGTCAGAGATAGTAAAGGGTCAGAGATAGTGAAGAGATCTAGAAGTTTACCCTATATGAGACAGATCCCAGTTTGACCCCACAGCACCAGAACTGCTCAGAGTGGCCCCAGACTCCCTGGACACCATTTAGGAAGCCTCTCTCCACCCCAAAGTCTTAAGTAACCTAAATAAAGACCCTCAATCTTTTTTTTTTTTTTTTGCTTTTTGGGTCACACCTGGCGATGCACAGGGGTTACTCCTGGCGGTGCTCAGGGGACCATACGGGATGCTGGGAATCGAACTCAGGTTGGTGCAAGGCAAACGCCCTACCCGCTGTGCTATCTCTCCAGCCCCAAGACCCTCAATCTTGTAGAAACAGACAAGGTCTCACTTACTCTTACACCTACCATTTCTTTGATTGGGTATTACTTCTTACATTAGTGTAAAAAGTTTAAGATACGACCACAAAGATAATCAGTTCTTACTGGTACTCTGCATACAGCTCCTGAGTACTAAGCTCCCTGATGACATGCCAAGAGGGTGTTGGGGTGGAGCTACAGTACAGTGGGTATGACACTTGCCTTATGCGTGGCAGACCCAAGTTCCATAGCTGGCACCATATATGAGCCCCACCAGAAGTTGTTCCTGAGTGCAGAGCCAGAAATAAGCCTTGAACAGAGCCAGGTGTGTCCCCTGCCACCCCAAAAAAGTGTCCTCCAGGGATTATGGTGCCACCAGCAGGCCAACCTGTACCTGCGGGGCAAGTGCATCAGCAGCCTGATGGTGCCTTCAGGCTTCCTGATACCCCAAAATTACCACTGTGCCTTTGGCCAGACCCAACAACTAGGGGCCAGTTTACCAAGAAATTAAATGGCCAAAAGTTAGGTATGTGGGAGCCACACCCACAAACCACCTCCAGTTCAGCTACACAAGCTCATTTATTGGCTTTATTTCAGAAACCCATAAATAAATCATGAAAGAGATCAAAAGCCACAGTTAATCTCAGACCCACACACATGGCTGAACAGACTGGGATAAATCAGAGGGGGGCGGGCTGGCCTGTGCCTACCCAAGCAGAGCCCCCAGCAGCCAACTGCTTCCACAATCCAAAACCACTGCCATACACTAACCTCAGCCTGACTCCACTGACTCAGGACGGATCTCACCAGATATAATCTGCTAAATATTCAGGTCTTGTGACTGAAATCTCCAGGCTTGGAGACCCGAGTTCTCCACTGACCCAGGTTCAATTCCCAGCATTCCATATGGTCCCCTGAGCACCGCCAGGAGTAATTCCTGAGTGTAGGGCCAGGAGAAACTCCTATGTATCACCGGGTGTAACCCGAAAAGCAAATAATAATGATGATGATGATGATGATGATGATGAAATCTCTAGGCTTTCTCAGGGTTGGGGTGGGCTCCCCCACCTCCCTGTACTTCTGGAGGCCTTAGCAGTCACATCTGTACCTCAAAGCTGCCACCCAATTTAAAAATTAGTCCAGCCTTACCATCCCGATAAAAATACCGAATGCTCTGAACAAATACTATGACCTCGTGGCACCTGTATTGCAAACCATAATGCAGAAGAGAGAGAGAGAGAGAGAGAGAGAGAGAGAGAGAGAGAGAGAGAGAGAGAGAGAGAGAGAAAAGCTCCTCCCACAGAGGGAGGCTGGGGGTTGGAGGTGGGAGATTGGTGGGGGATGGGATCGTGGTGGGGAAATGGGGGACATTGGTGGTGGAAATGTACACTGGTGGAGGGAAGGGTATTGGATCATTATATGACTGAAACCCAATTATGAAGTTTTGTAATGGTCTATCTCATGAATATTCAATTTAAAAAACTGAAACAAAAACTAATGTGCAGCTCATGCCCAATTTAATCAGCATAATCAATGGCTGAATTAAAAGCAGTACTCCTACATTAGAAAAAAGAAAGAAAACACAGCCCTATTCAGGATCCCATTTTCTAGTGCTGGCTCTCTGTAAACAGTGCCACAATCACAGTTTTTGAGAACATACCAAAGATGCTCACAAGAATAAAGAGTCCTTTTCTTTCCAAATGACCTGAACTTAATTTACGGCACAGTTCATATTCTCGTGTCCATTATCCCAGTTCATTTTCCTACCTTCAGATAGCCCAACCTAGAATTTCTTCCCCTTCTCCTCATCTCTCTTCCCCGAAGAGAAGTCAATACTCAAACCAACCAATTCAGGTTGGGAATACTGCAATTCCCAGGCTATCATCAGGGAACAGTCTGACCTCATATATAAAAATCCAATGCATTTAAGTTAAGTCTACTGAACTCTAAAGATAAAACAATGCCACACCATACCACTTCCAAAAACTTACACTCTTATTTAGATACTGCGGGGAAGCTTGTCAATTCATTCCCTGAAGGAAAGGGGCAGGGAGGGAAAGTGGCTGGGATTCCAGATGCCCGCATTCTGGTCCAGCATTCTGGTCCCCTGGCTAGCTACTGGAATCTAAACAAGGCACTTAACTTCTCTTAGCAAAGCGTTCACTTCAAGGGCAGGGGCCAGGGAGAGGGCTCGAGCAGTGAGACCCCATGACTTGCATGCAGAAGTTTCCTATAAGCACCCACGTACCACTTGTTGAGATCAACTCCTACACTCGAGCTGAGCAGCCAAAAATAAATAAACATTTCAGGGGCAAGAGTGAGAGCAAGAACCAGGCGTGTGAACCCTGGTGCTCCGCAAAGCACCGAGACGGGAAGGAGACATAAAGTAAATAGATTTTCCGACCGGACTTCTCCACAAGACTCGGCAGATACGGGCACAGAGAACCTTACTCGAAGTGTGAGTATTCTACGGAATACTCAGGCCACTCGCCAACGCTGCGCATTTTCGAACACTTCGATCCCTCGCCCCGGCCGGCCCCAGCAGCCCGGTGAGGGGTGAGAGCCCTGGGCAGCAGCGGCCCCGCCGTCCCCCGCGCCGGCCGAGCGTGTCTCCGGACACGGGCACAGGCGGGGACGGGCCCGGAGTAACGGTCCGGTCCGGGTCCGGGGACGAGCGGGCGGAGCCGCGGCGGCCGACCGTGCCCCCTGACGGGCCGGCTCCCTCCCGCCGCGGCCGCCGCGCTGGTGCAGGGCGCGGGGAAGGAGCGGGTACCTGGGTGCGGGCGGCCGGGGTGCAGCGGGGCCGCGAGCCTCACGCGCGTCGCCAGCATCGCGCCGCTCGGTCGCCGGGGCCGCGTGCGGGAACGACGCGCGCCTGGGGCCGCCTCGCGCCGCCTCTCGACGCCTGGAGCCGCGCCCTCCGGGGGCGTCGCGGGGCGGGGCCTCGGCGCGGCCCCCCGGCACTTCCGGCGAGAGCGCGCGGCTTCCGCCTCGTCGCCGCCGCCATGCACCGCCAGGGCTTTCGGCCCCCGACCCCTCCGTACCCCGGCCCCGGCGCGGGCGGCTGGGGCGGCGGCGGCGGCGGCGGCTTCCGCGGGGCCCCGGGCGGGCCGCGCCAGGCGTCCCCGCAGCACACGCCGCCGCCCTACGGACCCCGCGCGCGGCGCGGCGGCTTCCCCGGGGCCCGCTTCGGCTCTCCGCCCCCCGGCTCCCCCGGGCCGCCCCCGCGCCTCGCCGGCTCCCCCGGACCGCAGCCCCACGGCCAGGTAACTGCCGGCTCCCCCGGGACGCAGCTCCCCGGGCCGTAGACCCCCCCCCCCCCCGCCCAGGTGACGGCCGGCTCCCACGGGTCGCAGCCCCCCGGCAGGGGACGAACGGCTCCCCCGGGACACCGCCCCCGCCTACCCCCCTTCCTCCCCCTGCCCCCGCGGCCAGGTAACCGCCGGCTCCCCCAGGACGCAGCTCCCCGGGCCATAGACCCCCCCCCCCGGCCAGGTGACGGCCGGCTCCCCCCGGCCGCAGCACCCCGGCCAGGTGACCGCCGGCTCCCCCCGGCCGCATCACCCCGGCCAGGTGACCGCCGGCTCCCCCTGGACGCAGCTCCCCGGCTCCCCAGGGCCGCAGACACCCCCCCCCCCCCGCCAGGTGACCGCCGGCTCCCCCGGGTCGCAGCCCCCCGGCAGGGGACCAACGGCTCCCCCGGGACACCGCCCCCGCCTACCCCCCTTGCTCCCCCTGCCCCCGCGGCCAGGTAACCGCCGGCTTCCCCGGGCAGTCCCCTATCCCGGACGGGCGGCTGGCCGGGAGGCCAGAGTTGATCGGTAGCCCAGAGTGCTAGGGCCCGAGTGTGAGGGACAGGCGGCTGGACCCACACGACAGATATGTCACACGCGCTGGTGGTTTCCACGGACATGCTGGACCGCCCGGGACACAGACTGGGGTTCAGACGCAGCTTCCAGTGTAGCTCAGTGACCTCCTCCGGCCTAAAGTCCCGTTTGTAAGATACTCTTGTAACCGCTGGTTTTCTTCCCAAAGGGCTCTCCAAGGACGTCTACACCTTTCGGATCAGGGCGTGGTAGAGACAAGAGAATGTCTAATGATTTGGAGAGTTACTTTAAGCCTTCCATGCTTGAAGACCCTTGGGCTGGCCTAGAACCAGTGTCTGTAGTGGACGTAAGCCAACAGTACAGCAGCCCTCAGACATTCACAGGCAAAAAAGGAAGATACTTTTCTTAACATTTCCGAAATACGGCTGGAAACTTCTGAGTCAGAAGCAACTTGGACAAAATGGTGTGAATAACTTTGAATAATTAGTTGGGACATCTTGATATTTTTACTGTGGCAAGTACTGTTCCTATTAAAGGAGACATGTAGTAGGATAATTTGCAATATTTAGTGTTCTGGAAGTGCCGACCATACTTGAAGCTTTGCAGTTTCTAGATATTTGCCATTTTGTTTATATATTTGGTTATATACTCTAATGGCTTTTCATTGTATTAAAATAAAACCTTTTCTAGCTGTAATGTGGTTTTGTCACATGCTAAAGAAGTAGAATTTAAGTCATGCATTGTAATTACTGGATATTTAGGAAATATCTTGCACACTGCTTTTTACAATGAAATAGTAAGCCATTAAACTGTAGGCAGTTCTTTATTTGTTCATAGGGAAAGGAGTAAAGGACAAGAATAAAAGAACTCTTTATAATCATCCTTCATTATATTTTATGTAATATTTTTGTAAATGCATTGCAGTTTGATTGGAAATCACAAAAACCCACTAAAAACTTATGTGAAAAGAGGTATTTATTTAACTGGGAAAAGTTAATGAAGTTCTGTGTTTATAATATTCGATTAAAAAATTATTTAAATTAGATCGAATAGCTAAAGTTCTATGTCTGAATATCCTCCAATTTCCTTCTTTATGAAGTCCTTTTCCTTCAAGGAAGATGGTCACTAGCAGTCTCATCATTTCCCCTGAAAAGAACGTTTCCCAGCTCTGTCAGACCCAGAGATTTGTCCCTGCTTAGATTGTTTTTTAAGCAATGAGGCCTACATACACTCCACCACAATTCCCAGGCTCTTAGGTCTTTTGAAGTCACTATTTGAGACATGGTCCATTGTTTGTTTAATGGGTCTTTAACAGAGGCAAAGAAAATCAGAAAGGCAAGATTTACATTAATAAAAGTTGTGTGAGAGTCAGGGCTCTTTTTCTCCTGTGAAGTGAATTAACCCATGTCATAGAGATTTATTTAGAGGATAATAAGATTTTATATGTATGTGATTTAGGCCAGAGCCTGGTACATAGTAAGTGCTCGATGAGTGGTACATAGTAAGTGCTCTTATTTTCTCATTTTTCCCTATATCTTAAGTGCTTAGAATGCTGCCTAGTAAAGTGGTGCGTAATACATACATGGGGGGTGAATGCAAACATGACTATTCTGCCTATCTCTGTATATAAAAAGATGCTAGTAATTTCCCCATATTTTAAAGGAAATTCCTAAATTCTCTAACAGTTTATCTTTCCAGGTGATGAGGTCATGAATATATGATGGAAAAAGCACTTCTCTAAACCTTTTGTTGAACTTCATAGGTGATGTTTAGAAATAAACTTTCTCAGAGATCACTGTATTGACAAAGATGAAAAAGGAAGTCAAGAGAGATGTTTATCCCATTTAGGAGACATTCAGATTGAGGCTGTCTAATGGTTTCTGTGTATTTTGATTTTTTGTTGCTTAGATTTGTTCCTGGCTCTGAATTTTTTGCCAAGAAATTAACATCTCCCAGAGATCTGACCTTTTCTGACATTCTTAATAGAAACATTAGCCCTTAGGAAAAGACCCTGCCTTGCCTTGTATTGTAGTCTCTTATCAAGATTCTTGCCAGATAATTAACAAGTATTAATCTATAATTCTAGCTTTGAATAAGAGTGTGCATACTCCTGGGGGTATCCAACTTTCCATGGGATATACAGGTACAGGTAGCTTTCAAGAAGTCCAGACCTTCCTTAGACTTGATCTGCTTAGGGCATATTTCCTTGCTGATTGGATTATGCCATTTTTCTTTTTCTCTTTTTGCTGTCTCAAAGTACTCTGTCAGTTTACAAAAGAAACTAAACGGCAAGTTGTATTTTCTGAAGATGGTTCCAGAAATATTTCAGGTCTCATACTGTTTTCCAGAACTTCATCACTACCCCATCAAGATTTCCTTTGAACCAGAGCAGATCTTTTTGGCCACCCAGTTTGTGGAAGCACAGTGAGAGGTTCCCCACCACCACAGCCTGCCAGAGGCCATATCTGGGGACTCCTCGGGGTTTATTCCTAGCTCTCCTAAGGAATCCTAGCAGTTCTTATGAGGTGTTGGGGCTCAAACCTTGTTGGGCTGCTTGCAAGGCGAATGCACTCTCTTCAGCTCCAGTGTGTTTTTATTGTGGGTAAGCTTAGTCTTAGAAATGGCAAATTATATTGTCCCGTGTGGAAGTGCTCAAAGTTTGTAAATTAGTTTTATTCGAATGTTTTGCCAAATAGGGTATAGTGTCATGGTAGTTTTGAATGACCCTACTTGGTTTATCTCCTCTTAACAACAACAAAAAATACCTTTTTTTCCTATGGGTGAATTGTTTGAACATAAAGCAAAGGCAGGAGCATAGTGTGAAGAAAAAGTTCCTTTCTGGGTAACAAATGATTATAGTTACTTGTCTCACTTAAGAATATTAAATGACAAGTTTTTGTGAATCTGCTATGAGGAAATTAGATTTTTACCAGTCTAAAGAAAGAGTTGGATGATTGATTATGTATGTGCCAAACCTCTTAGCATAATTTTCATAATTCCCAAGAAGGATGAAGCTAAAAGTTTTGTCTCTTGGTGGGGCTGGCGGGAGCTTGAAGGAGTGGTTGGTAGGCCTTACTCAAAGGTGCATAAGGGCTGTTCCTAACTACTCAGGGTTGACCTCTGGCAATCCTCTCGGGATCAAACCACGGGCAGCTCTGTATTAGGGAAGAACTTTACCTACGGCACTATCTCTTTGGCCCCAAAGTTTTGTTTCTTACACATTAACATTTCTCAGATTAAAAGATAGCTTAAAGTAGGTTCAGTTGGTGGATATATATTTTCTGGAGCATTTCTAAGATTCTTAGGAGAATCAGATTACCCACTCATTATTAGGTTCTGTAAATACTTGATTTTTACTCATCTCAAGTCTGCTATTTATTGTCACCCAGCTATTTCTGTTTTTTCTTTATTATATGCATATAGTTGAGATTAATAGAAATCAATTTTGTTCTTAAGTTCCACAAACTACTGTATGACACCATTATATATGATTCAACATTATGTATCATTTAAGAAGGACACTACCAACTAAAGCTATGACAGTTATAAGGTACATCCCAATTTCAGAGTTGTTAAAAGTGTGCCTTAGTTTGATGAACTACCAAATGGGCCAGAGAGATCATACAGGGGTAAAGGTGTTTGCCTTTCCTGTGGCTGGTCCAGGTTTGATCACTACATATAGTTTCCTGAGCAATGACATGAGCCATCCCTGTGCACCGAGCCAAGAGTAAGCCTAGAGTATTGTGTGTGTACCCCCCTCTACAACCCCCCCCCCAGATAAGTGCTATAAAGTAGAATAGAACTAAATGTCCCCAAAGTAAAATCTGGGAAATAGAGTACGTTTGCTTTTATAAAATCAGCATGTAGCACTGTCTTCCCGTTGTTCATCAATTTGCTTGAGCGGGCACCAGTAATGTCTCCATTGTGAGACTTGTTAACTGTTTTTGGCATATCGAATACGCCATGGGAACTTGCCAGACTGCCGTGTAGGAGGGATACTCTCGGTAGCTTGCCAGGTTCTCCGAGAGGGACGGAGGAATTGAACCCGGGTCAGCCATTTGCAAGGCAAACGCCCTACCTGCTGTGATAGTATTTTTTATTCATATTCTCAATTTTGTAAGAGGCTTAACTTTTTTAAAAATGAACAGAAAGTTCTATTTTTTCACAAGAAGTCTATGCAAATTCCAATATTAGGAGAGATTTTGCTATCTTTTAAGTGAATGAGGGTATTGGGGCACACCGGCATTGTTTACATCTTACTCCTGGCTCTGCACTCAGGAATTACTCCTGGCAGTGCTCGGGGGACCTTGTGAGGTGTGGGGATCAAACCCAGGTCGGCGCATGCAGAACTGTGTCAGCTCACACAAGAAGGGGGGCACGGCACACACACAGCAGCGGTGGCTCTATCTCTCCCGCCGCCCGCGTTCGGTAGTCTCACCCTTCTGCCACCCCGGAGAGGTCGATAGCGATGGTCAGGCAGAGGAAGGAACGAGGGCCAGGCTGGTAGGTATTAGTCGTAGTTTATTCTGATTCTCTCCTCATCTGTCTCTCCTCCTTCCGTCTCTCTCTGTCTCTCCTCGTCTCTGCCCCCATGCTACTTCATTCTCCTCCATCCCCCTTCATCCTCCTCTTCCTTCTGATCCTCTCTGAACTCTCTTCTTCCTTCTCCCCCCAGCCCACTCCTACAGTACAGTTAAATCATCTCTCCATGAGGAATTGGGGGAACAATTACACATAGGTGCGGTCACAATCAATAGGGGTAGAGATTAACAGGGGTAGAAATCTTAGCCTCAGGGAAGACCGCTCCTAAGACAGATCCTTCCTCAGCAGGAGGACCCACCCTAGAGCATAATCCCATGGGCGTGCCTCTCCTCCCCCTTGTCCGACAAGCATACAAGAATATAATATAAATCATTTTGTATGGATACAGTAAGAAATATCTTAAACTTATAGAATTGCTCTCCTAGGGCCATCTCGATCTCAGACTACGGTGCTCAGGCCAGATAGTCTTTCCCACCCCTAGCAGGATCCTAGTCTTGTCGTTACCTTTGAATCATGACAGCATTTGTCTATGATCAAACTCTTAACTTATAGTTAAGAATCGTAGCCCTTTGGCCTGGCCCATTTCGCTGCCAGGGTAGCTCACCGCTTGCCCTGGGTCCATTAAGTTCCTCGTCGGGACCCTGCTTTTGGGGTGTTAGGAACTAAGGGCAACTGAGGCTTAAGTCAAGAAAGCAGATGCCCAGGAGTGAATAATATTCAAGGCCAATCAAATCCTAAGTTACAAAGCATAATGTTAACGGTCTTCCTGTATCTATACAAAAAGGATATTACTTTAAGGTAAACTATTCATAAGGCATAAGGAGAGGAGAAAGGCAATATTTCACTCATACATATAAAATCATAGATTTCTGGGAAACTGATCTTACAAATTAACAAAGTCTGATTAAGGGGGAAGCTGATTAACTGGGTGGGAAGGAGAGCATAGGGAAGACTGTTCACATGTTTACATGTAAACACAATGGAAGTGGAAGTGCTTCAGGAGCACTGTGATGGGTGTAACCAGATTGATGGGTGTAACCAGATAAACCTAAGCTTCTTGAAGGACAAACCAATGTTACCCAACACAGAACATGTTCCCTACCCTCTGTATTGTCACTCCAGGCCCTTCTTTTTTTCATTTTTTTGGGTGTAATTAGATACCTTAATAATGTAATTGATTTACTTTAGATATTAATAACACAAAGGCTGCCTTTGAAGCTCTGTTTGATTGGTTTTGGGGTATCACTGGGTGGTACTGAAGGCTTACTCCTGGTACCATTTTCAGAGGACCTTGGATAGTGCCAGGATTGAGCTACGGTCAGCTACATGCTGCACAGTAATCTCTACTTATCTCTCCAGCCTGTCTTTGCAGTTAAGTTTTAAGATATCATGGTCACCTGTCCTCCAGTTGTTCATCGATTTGCTCAAGCGGGCCCAGTAACATCTCCATCATGAGACTTGTTGTTACTGTGTTTGGCATATAGAATACGTCATGGGTAGC